AAACTGGAAAAAAAAAAAAAAAAAAAAAAAAAAAATCCCTTTTTTTTTTGGTGGTGTGAGCGTTTATCTCTTGGCCTGCTCGCTCATCCGCGCGTCGACCCCTTTTTTTTTCCTGCGAATTATCTCCGCAGCAATCATTAAAGCATTAATTGTGGACCTGGAATCTGGCGCCCGTTTGGTTGTAGCAGAGCCTTTCCTGCTTCTCCTCCTTCTTCTCTTTTTTCCCAGTAACCTTCTCCCTCGTGGTGGTTAGCTTATATTCCGTGTTGAATGAGTCCACGATGTTGTCCTTGTTGGATGAAAAATGGAAATCGAAATCGCTGTAGTCGTACGTGGAGGAGCTGGAAGTTTTGTTAAAGTTGTCTCGAATAGTTTCGTCGAGTCTTATGGTCGCCTTGGTGTAGCTGGTTGGGTGGAGAAACGCGCTCGGCTTGTGGTGATGGTTATGCGCACCTCCGCTTCGATCATGGCTTCCCTCCAAGTAGGCATGCGTGCTGACTGCCTGGGAACGGCGCACCTCGTCGAAGGTCTTATTGCCCCTAGCGGCGCAATGCGAGACAGCACCCTGGTTGGCTGCCTTACCTTCCATTTGCAGGCTCATTGAATTTCTGTCTTTTCCCGTCGCCTTGCTCGGCACAAATGGGTTCCGACTGCGGTCGTCACTGCGGTTGTGATGGCCATTGTCATGGCGATTGTCACTTGGGCTTCCGCTGGCGCTGCCGTCTGCGCTGCCCGTGCTGCTCATCGAGTGTGCGCAATGTTCCTGCATGCCCAGCGTGTTCAAAACTTTCATAAAGCCAGAATGCTCGCTCTTGTCCACACCCCTACTGCTGCTACTACAATTACATTCATTCTCCTCGTAACTGGTGTCGTAATTGGCCACGGAGCAGAAGCTTCGACCTTGGGGGTCAGCACCTTCATTCTTGCGTTCAGCTAACTTTGTGAAATTCTTGGTTTGGTAATAGTAGTAGTGCTGCTCGTTTTTGTCGTAGCCTTTTTTGCTTGCACAATAATTATGCCTTGTGTTTCCACTGGAGGTGTCGCAATGTCCTGTTTGCTCGAACTCGCCTATATGCACCTGCGCCGTTTTTTTCCTTGCATCATAATTGGCACCACCTTTCGTGTTATTCATAAAATCATTAATTATAATATCGTTGGCGTCGTTGCTGCTATTGGGTTCGTCTGACATATGGGTGGAGGGGTCATTGTTGGAAGAGAAATTTTTTTCATTTTTTTTTACTCGATCATTACACGGTTTGGAGTTTGCACTTGGTTGTCTCACGTCGTCTCGAATGATCGTGGACAGGGACATGTGCTTGCTGCTCTTCCCATCTTTACCCCCAGCAGCTTTTATTTGTTCCTCGTAATGATTGGTAGGTGCGTCTACACCACTGTTGAGGTGATTTTCGCGATGCAATTTTTTTTTGTTCAGGAGAGATGAGAGGCCATTTTCGTACTCGTAATTGGTACCCTTGTCATTACCACATTGGTTAATGTTATAATTGTGGAGGTTACTTTTGGATGGTATCCTCCCCACTGCATCCATCATTGTACCTTTTTTATTTCCAATGCGCTGCCTCTTATCATCTTCATTGTCCTTGTTACTGTTCATGTGATCATTCACGCATTGTCCTGTGTGATTATTATTTGAAAATATTTCCCAATTTGTTTGGTTCATCTGTTCGCTGTCTTTCATGGGCAACTTACTCTTCACTTTTTCCATGTCACCGATCCTGCCAGCTTGCAACAGATATCCCTTTTTATTCTTATCCCCTACGTATTCCCCCTCGGCGTACGCAGCAAACCGATCTGGGTGGCTATTTTTTACTCGCGAGTCTTCCATATACCTGACGCAACTTTCTATGAGGCGGCTTCGGGACACATCGCCAGGCTTGTCCATTTCCCCACAAATATCTGACGCAGTGGATTGTTCAGTAACCTTGTTGAAATAGCCCCTCAAATGGGCAGGGCGGCATTCAAAGGATTCCTGTTTATTATTTATGTCTTCCATGTGGTACCCATTTGTTCTATCCGCAATGGTGTGACCTTCTGCAGAGCCATAGTGGACCTTTTCACTAATTTTTCCTTCCGCTATTAAAAAAGAATTATTTCCCATTTTTTTCTTTTTCGACCAGGTGTTCTCATCATGGATGTGCTTCCCTAATGTGTCCATGTTGATCGCTTCACCGTTTGGGGCCTTTTCCTGATTGAGGCTGAGTTGGACGCGGCTGCCACCTGCATTGATACTGCGAATCCCCCCGCAGGTGGTGACACTGTCCACATTCGGCGGGTCCAACTGGTAGCGCTTCTGTTCATACGCGCCGACGCTCTGGCCCCCTCCTCCGCGTCCTTCTCCTCCCCCTCCATCGTTTAAACCCATTTCGTACAAACTGGATAAATTTTTTTTTAATTTTTTCTTTAGCTCCTTGGAATTCTCCAATATGGCATTGACTTTGTTCGAAAAGGACTCGTCCTTGTTCTTAGCGCACTTTCTGTGCTTCCCCGATTTGTTTATATGGATGTTGAAATTGTTGGCGTAAATTTTGATATAATTTTCGTCCTCCTTCCCTTCTTCCTCATTTGCTTCATCCTCATCGTAGTCGTGATCGTCATATGCTTCATAATCATCTTGTTCACCTTCCACTGCGTGGTCATCTTGCTGTGAGTCTTCCCCCTTTGTCCATTTGTTTCCGCGGCGTTGGGGGTCTTCCAGGTCCGGCACTGCCCTTTCTCGGGTTCCTTCATATTTGCATGACCTCTCATTCCCATCCATTGTCTCCTCTACGTTAACTCCATTGGCTTCATCCCCAGTGCTGCCCCTCCTGCAGACGTGTTCCGCCAACTGGCCCTTCGTTTGGTCCTTGGACAATCTCACATTTTTTGACTCACAAAAGGTGACACTTGCGTCTTGAAAATTTCCTACATGGCTCGTCATGTTCTTTTTATAATTTACTGACTTCTCCGTTTGCATCTGTTGATCCTTTTCTGCACAAAACCATTTCGCTGCTTTGCTGTCCAAAGCATTTTTATAGTTTGAGCAATTCTCCTCTTCTTTCTCTTCCGATGCGTCAATGGTAACATTACGATTTGTTTTCTGACAAATGGAATCCTCTTTTGGGGTCATTCCCTTTTTACCACTTTTCCCGTTGCCATTGTGAATCACTTCTACAGATTTTCCATAGCCGTGTTCATTTGTCTTGCTCTTGTAGTTTAAAAAATCGTCGTACGTGTCGCTGCCGCTGTAGCACCTTTCTCGTACACTTTTCATGTGGTTATTATTTTTCCCGCTTTTCATGTGGGAGGTAACTTGGTTGTTTTTGCTGTCCAGTGTGCCGTTATGATTGCGCTGATCTTTGCTGCGGTGTTGTTGATCGTGGTCTTCCTCTTCTTCCTCGTCCTCCTCCTCATCGTCATCGTCGTCATCATCTTCCTCCTCCTCATCATCATCGTCTTCTTCCTCCTCTTCCTCGTCGTCCTCCTCATCTTCATCCTCTTCCTCCTCGTCATCTTCTTCTTCTTCCTCCCCGTCGGTGATTCCCTGCTCGATGTCTGGCACCTGCTCGTGCAAGAACTGGTCATTTTGGCCCCTGCTAAGCGCTTCGTGGTAGACGCCTTTCTTGTTGACCATTTGGCCTGTATGACTGACTTGGCTAACTTTGCCGTTTTTGGATTCTTCCCTGAGGCTGCTATGATGAATTTGTTGTTTCTTCTTGTGCACGTAATTGTTCTGCACCGCGCGGTTGCCCCCCATGTCACCTGCCTCACCAACCTGACCAACTTGGCCAACTTGTTCCGCTTCCTCGTCCTCCTCGTCGTTTATAACGATAGCCTCATTTTCCTTCTTCATGATATGGTCGTCCTTGTTCTTCTTGGCAATATTGTCTTGGTTGGTATTTTGCTCATCATCGTCGATGACCAGAAAGTTATCCTTTTTGGCGTCTTCCACGTACACGACTGGGGATGCATGCAGGGCGTTGCCATTCCCGTGCGAACTGTGGTTGTTATTGTGAATAGAGGTGGCAGAAGTAGCTCCGATCACGTCGTCATTTAAGAACCTATCATTGGTGTAAGTATTCGCGCCCGTTTTCTGATCCGCTTTGACGGCACTTTTGGCATCTCTACTTTGCTTGGTCCTGCTGTCGTTGCTCCTGCAGGTACAGGGGTCGCTTTTCTTGACGGAGCAACAGTTTATTCTATTTTTAAAATTATTCTTCATCATATAGTACAGAATCTCGTAGTCGTTTTTGAGACAGGCGTGTGAATATTTATGGTTACCAGTTTTGTCCTTTGCATTTTCTGCGTCCATGACGACGGTTGACTTGTTATTTCCCTTCGAAGGAGACGTGTCGTCCTTGTCTACATCTACATTTTGCTTCATTTTTCCATTCGCATGGAGGGAAATGGCGTTGACTGTGTTGGTTGAGTAGACCGCGTGTGGAGTAGCAGCGGCCGTATTTGCCCCGCTGGGCGAAATGGAGGAAATATTTTTGAAAAAATTCCAGTTGTTGGAGAGGAGGTAAATCCACCTGCTCTTAACCTTCTCATGCCACAAGAATTTAGAATTCTGCAAGCTGAAATTGTTTAGCATTTCTGTCACCCACGGGTGGTCCAGAACATTCTGAAGGCTTAATCGTTCACTGGGGTTTGATGAGGTCAACTTAACGAATAAATCCCACGCTTTAAGATTTTCCCTGAATCTGCTAGGAGGTTTAGAGTGTCTCAAATTATGCACAGTTTTCAAAATGGTTTGTGCGACTTTTGAACATTCGATTCCTTTTTGTCTACACACAAATCTGCCTGAAATGAACAAAATCATATTCATCCCAAGGGCATAATTATCAATTTTTTCTGTCATGGGTCCCGTATTTCTGAGTACCTCTGGGGGGTTAATTTCCAACGTCCCTGGCCATTCAGTCGGGTGTAAATTGCAAGAGTCGATATGTTCAGACCATCCAAAGTCAGCTATGACGATCCTTTTATTATCGTATCTTAAAATATTTGTTGGCTTTAAATCTCTATGAACAATATTCATATCTTGAATATACCACATGCCTTGTAAAAGTTGAATAAAGTACAGAAAGGCTTCTGTCATATTGCTGGACAAATTTTCCTTCCATAAGGTACCATCATTTGCATAATCTTGTATTAATATCCATCCTTCCTTTCCTCCTATAACTTTGTGTAACTTTATGACCCCAGGACATTGACATATGGACAGGTTGATTATTTCTTTTGTAAACATTTCAACAATTCGATTAAATGATTCCTTGGGAAATTGATTTGGTTGTAATAATTTAGCTGCAAATATTTCGTTGGTAATTTTATGCTTCACTTTCCATACTTGTGCGTATGTGCCCTTTCCTAGATTGTTCAAAACGACGTAGTCTTTAAAGCAGCTGTCATTTGTCCGTATTATCCTAATTTGGTTGTGGAGCACACTGGGTAGCTGTAAAACGTCATTGTTAGTAGACAGGTTTGAGCCTATTTTAACTTCTTCATTTTTTCTCCCTTTTATGTAATTTCGCTTGTAATAATTATCAGCAACTTCGGGGTTGTCTTTGCTGTTATTATTCAATGTTTTAGGGTTCTTTTTGATATCTGGAAAATCCATGTTTTTTTTTTTTTTTTTTAATTACTACTTGGTTTATTACGTTTTCTGAGAAAATATTTGTCCGTCTGTGTGTTCCTTTATGCGTTCGTGTGGATGATGCGCTCTTTCACAACAATGTGATGTTCCAGGTCCGACGTTGTAGAAGCGTCAAAATTGGGTTATATCTAGGGCTGTGCATGTGTGTACCTATGTGTGCACACGCACCTGGTAACAAGTGTCCTGTCAAGGGCGCACGCATACATAGATGCGTGTACATGCAAGGATACGTATACACACATTAATATTTTTATTTGGTCGTGTTGGTTTTCCAATTGTTCTTCACACATACATGTATACCGTCGAATATATACTCACCACAGCAATGGACTTTTGTTTTTTTTTTTTTTAAATTATACTTCTCTTCTGCGATATTTCCAATTCTTCAAAAATATGTACTTTATAAAAACAGTTTTTCTAACCTGTTCACATTTAGTCGAACAATTCCAGTGCTGGTGGTTCACGTGTTCTCACAGGTGTGGTGTATATTTGCGTATTTTTAATTTATTTTCCTGTTTGTTCTCTATGAATAAATGCTTCAACTTTGTGTAACTCTCAAGTGGAAACTGTTATCTTATTTTTTATTTTTATTTTGTTCCGTTCTTCATTTACCTTGATCGTTATGTCGTGAAGTGCTTATGTGTGTGGTTTCTTTTTTGTTTTTTCTCTCTGTACACGTATTTGTATGCCTATTTGCAACCTGTTTGTGTACTTCTCCGTACACTTGTGTTGTATATGTTTACACTTTTTTGTTCGTTTTTCTTCTTGTTTTTTTGTTTGGAATATTTTCTTTCTACAAATTTGCTATCACAGCCAAATACAACCAAACAAAGGGGTTAATCAAATTAATAAAACAGGCACAGATAAATCACACAAAAAAAAAAAAAAAAAAAAAA